TAGTAAAGTTTGCATACAACTTTACGTATCATATGGGCTAAGAAATGTTTTCGTTGAAGCAACAATTAGAGCAAGACAGGCTGGTGGTGCACGGATATCATGTTAGCTACCTGGGAGAATTGAAAGTTCAAGGCCAGCTAGACCTGCTAAAACCAAAAGACCTGAAGGCATGGCTTCTAATACCACAAAAAAATTAATTAATCATAGCAATTATAATAGAACTAAAACAAGAAATGTAATTTAATCTTACTTAACCCAAAGGGAAACAGCTTTTACCTGTATGAGCTTCCATGACGAAAGCTCTGCCCGCAAATACTGCAAAGATGAGGCTTCTCTCCACTGTGGATTCTTAAATGCTCTTTCAACGTAGTTCTGTGTTCGGAAAAAAATATTATGTTTTAGAATTTCTTCTTCAGACATTTAAACCAAAGCACATCAAGTATTTTGTATCTTGAGTTACTCAGCCCCCTGTAAGCCATCCTCATAATTAATTCTATGTAAAAGCACTAAACTTTTCTGGGTTTTGCAGATCATTCTTCACCTTTCTCTCACTGATTTTCCACAAATAAAGCACGTCCATTTTCTCTTCCCACCATGAGTACACTCAATATGACGTTTCAGATTCCCTGTGTCATTGAACTGGCGGCCACATATGTCACATGGAAAAGGACCTAAAATTAAAAAAGAATGACATGCATTTAGAGTTTGAAGATAAAAGTTTAACAGGTGTATCACAAGGAAAGCAAACCACTCTTGGTGGCAATAGAGGCAGAATACACTATAATTATTTACTTTACTATTATTTACTTTTCTATTCCCTCCTAGATTTCTGATTCCAGCAAAGCAGGTGACAGTCACTGCCACATCTCTAGAGTCCAAGTATAGGGGTTGGCATCTAAAAGACATAAATTGAAATGGCCAAATTCTACTTTCAGATGAAAACAAAGTAAAAACTACTGCATACTAAATTTCTGTGAATTTCTAAGTTTCCTACTAGCAAAACTACTTCTAAATTATTTACTGTACTTAGTTGAAGGCTCCAGCTAGGTAGAAAGAGAAATGAAGTCTTCTCATAAGATCAGTTATTTATGGTCCTTCCCAGCCCTCCCTCAGCTTCTTGAATGCTGGAGTTATAGTTGTCTGCCACCATGCCCAACTGGTACTTGAATCTTGGAATCATTGTTGGCAGATTCATATGGGATATTGACTTAATACTATCTTATCCTAATAATCTTTTTCCTTTTCTCTGACAGATTTCATCCTGAAAATGCACAAGAATTTATTTCCATCAAGAAATCTAAATATATTTAGTAAAGTTTGCATACAACTTTACGTATCATATGGGCTAAGAAATGTTTTCGTTGAAGCAACAATTAGAGCAAGACAGGCTGGTG